GCATTCCAGTGAAGGGAGTGTCAGAGATGTTCTTCAAATGTTACTAGCGGGCATGCGACGCCTGACACGCAGCACGTGATTACTGAATCATAAACTGCCACTGAATAAACTTCGTGGTGCATATGAAGAAGGGAGAGAGAGAGAGAGATGAATCTCAGAGACAACGGTTCAGTATATAGAAACCAGAACCCGTTCTGACAGTCCGTGCTTGAGGCCATCAGTCTAGAAAAGAGTTTCCCTCGCACATGCGCAGTAGGGTTTCTTTTTTTTTTTTTGGAAAAAGTCTACATGATCGCGTTTGTTTTGTGCATTCTCGCCGCATGCAGTCCAGACCAGCGGGGCGCCGCTAACACGCAGTAATTAATTCCCAGCGGTCTCAAAGGTCACACCGTTTTCGCTGCCGCATTTATTTTCGAGTTGTTCTGCGGCAAAAAAACAACCGATGGAGGAACGAACAAGCAGCCGAACGGTCACCACACGAGATTTCACAGCTTGCTATAAACGACAAAAAAAAAAAACGGACAAAGCTTATAAATGAGATTTGTTCAAAAGGGGGCCCACGATGCCCACTTGCGGAGCTGATCAATTCCCGCGCTTTATTAGAGTGCACAGCAATAATGGCAGCATGCAAAAAAAATGTAGAAGCTTTTGTACTTGGACGAGCGCAGACATAGTATACTATATCATGTTCCCAGCAACGTGACGGCGGGGCAGCTGGCGTATCACTCGTTTTGACGAGGAGGCTTCATACGCCGCCAATTACAGGGACCAGTTTTTGTTGCCGTCTTCATCATCTTTAATTAAGCAGAACTACGACCAACGGACATGGGCTGCCCTATTTTATTTTTACATTCTCTTACGTTATATATGAATTGCTGTGGAGAGAGATTGCGGTATAAACAGTGCAAAAAGGAGTGACACGTGCGTAGTCGGCCATGCTGCAACTGAGAGTCCGTTTGACATTTGTGCGCAAGAAGCAATATCAGACTAACGAGCGCAGTTTATCACGAGAATACTGTTTAAAAATAACTTGTTATGAAAGGAAAGATGCGGGTTTTCACCTTAAATTTTATCTCGGTCAACTTACTTTAACGTGTGAAACTGAAATGTACCTTCCGTCGACAGCGAAGACGCTACGAATGTAATTTTTTCTGATAATACACTGCAATCCTAACACTGATGTCATGAATAAAGTTAGATTGCAGTTATAAGCACGCCCATAAAACTACGTCAGCAGCTCCATTTCATTCCTTATCCATTGTCGAGACTTCAAGACTGCGTTGAGGTTTTATTGAGAGACAAAAAAAAAAAAACACATGATAGACTACAACAGTAACAACAAAGGAAATAGATGAGTTGCACGCCACTTAAAACTTACTTAAAAAAAGACAACACGATCGGGCCTACGTTATGAGATAGTTCGTGGCTATGATGTCGCGCTAATAGACTTGAGATCACAAGTTAGAGAGGGGTGGGGGTGAAATGCGAGAAATCGCTGTGGCATTTAGATCTTTTTCAGTTGACGCGAAATAGTTCTCACCGGTGCTTGAAAGTGATGCGGCGTCCCCCTTAATCCGATAACGCGCGTTCTCGCGCGAGATCCCGCACGAGCATTCATTTTTAGCGAAAGCATTTACTTCGTTTATGTTATCCTCGATTGACCACCGCAATGACGGTCTCTCTTTTCCAAGTGTATACAATGTAACAACGTACTTAATGTATACATTTTGATGCACATATGGTATACCAAATGTATCAACATACTCAGATGCGACGCGTTTGCTCAACAATTGTTGTGAAGCTCATTGGTTTTATGAAATTGAGTAACGTCACATTTTTTTTTGCTTGTGAGTTCCGGCTCCCGTTTTATTTAAGACACACAAAAGTAAATGAAATGAAAGATTTCACATCGATTGCATATGCTGCCTCACTGCACACTTCAACATTGCACTAACAGAATAATTCTCACGCCTTCCATCGCATATTTCTAGGGTCTCGGTACTAGAAAACACGAGAAATGCAAAGAACATTTGCGACTTCGGGACGAAAAACATTGCTGCAACAATATTCCGAGTAACGCAGATTGTAATCAAGTGTAAAACCACATCCTTACTGTGGTGTTAGTCTGTACTTTAAATATACTCTTAGTTTACTGGACGATTTTAGTTTAGCGTAGTTTTTTTTATTTCACTCTATTTATCCTCTGTCGAACAAAGCTTTACAGGAGGGATTTGGGTATACATATAACAACAAGAGAAAAATAAAAATAACACGGTATTATTAACAGCGGCGATACATGCGAGAATACGATGTTAGGCCGATACAACAGAATTGAACTGCAGGCACGATGAGAAATACAGAGCTTACAAAAGGAAAATGAAGTACAATATACAGTTCCCGCATCATCAATGAAGTAATTTCATTTGGTGAAACAAAGCAAGTCAGGATCTGAAATGAAAACGACACTGGAGGGACGGTGGTTCCAGTCTTTGGACGAGCGTGCGGAGAAGGAAGAAGCGCGGCATCGGATGCTTTTTCGCCAACGGCCACGTTGATATTTGTATGTGCGACTATATGCACGAATGGATCGAATATTCTCTGGCGAGCATTGTTTTTTTTAATCGTAAACCATTTTTGTCAAATCTAGCCCTGCTTTCGGAGGTACTCATGTAGCTATCGATTGATTGATTTGCGGGGTTTAACGTCCGAATACCACCTTATGATTATGAGAGACGCCGTAGTGGAGGTCTTCAGAAATTTGGACCACCTGGTGTTTTTTAACGTGCGCTCAAATCTGAGCCTACCAGCCTACAGCATTTTCGCCTCCAGTGTAGCATATAGGCTGCGTCGGCTTTCTCTGAATGCCGTAGCAGTGAACGTGTGAAGAAGTTCCTTGATAGACTTTCAGTTTCCCACATTGCTGCGCCGTTATAGTGTGTTTCGAAGTAAATATTCTATAGTATACATACAACAGGTCTAACACTGAACTGCCATAAGTCAAAGGCCCGTACGCGTCCAAAAGAGCAAAGGTAACGAAGTTGAAAACAATGTGTCTGCTCGTCTTTCAGACATGATACGGTGAGAGAGAGAGAAACAACATTTAATTAAAAAAAAAAGCGGATCATCGTGGGTGGGGCCCTTTTTCTAAGGCTCCACTGGCTATAGGGGCTCGGCGGGCCTGACCAAGGGTCGCTAGTTGGTGAAGTGCAAATGCGTAATGTGATAGTGAACATCAATCGCGCATCTACTTCCCGCGAGCAATCAAGAACGTGGCCTGCTCGGAAGCATTAAGGAAAGCTGTAAAAAAAAAAAAAAGCGGACATTGCGTTGAGATGAAAACGAAAGCAAAGGGGAGAAAAACGCCGGTTGCGTTCAAAGTCAGCCCTCTTTCGGAACAGTTTTAAAGAGTCGTTCCTCCACCGCGTTGCGCAGCGCTTGTGTATACCTTTTGTCGGAGATCGACTACATAGGCGAGCGGTAACATCGCGGCGGCACGCCGAAAGCGCCGTTCTTTGCTTAAATAAGCAGCGGCCATTACCGCATTCTTTCAGCATCTGTTTAGCGTTCCTCGACGACAACGTTTATCTTTGCGAACAAAGTGAAGCAGTGCTTCTTCTCCGGGCGCGGAGTATTCTCGTGTGTAAGTGTACGCTAATCCGTCAGGAATTCGCACGCGGCGGGTAAGGACTCGCCCCTGTTATCGCTTCTCGAAAGCGACGTGATGCGCTCTCCGTCTCTGCGCAGTCCGGCGCGCATCTCGCGGAGGGGGCGAAGAGGGCCGCTCGCGGACGCTTGTCGGGAGGGGGGGAACTCACAAATTGCGGGGTTGATGAAGCGGCGCTGTTACGCGACGGCGCTCGCGAAAGAAAGAAATAGCCGATGACGCGAGGACAGCGTTCGGCGTCCTTTTAAGGAAACGATGCGATCTCGAGGAATGACCCGCCACATTTGTTTTGCGCCAACGCGACTCCTCTTTGCAGCTTTGCCCTTTCGCTGCAACAACTGCGGCCGTTTCTCTTTAGTTCAACCCGTACCCGAGTCACCGCCACCCACCGCTAAACAACAACAACAACACAACAACAACAACAACACAACAATAATAATAATAATAATAATAATAATAATAATAATAATGATGATGATGATGAAAATGAGATCTCATCGACGTCATATATTTAGGTGCTGTGGGGGCTGTTAGACATAGTCGCAGCAGGAGAAAAACTGCTTCATTAGCATGAAAACCTAGCATGTTCGGAAGGCACCAAAGGATTCGAAGTGCTGGTGCAAGTTTCTATGCAAAGACATGCAGACAACGAGAAAACAACGAACTCGTTGTGTTTAAAACTTCATGCAACATTCAATTCCCCTATAACGAATAGATAAATCGAAGAGCCAAAGAACAAACTTGAATAAAAAGGCAACATAAAAAAGAAAAGGAGAAAAAAGTCAATACATCGCCAACGCAAAGACAGCAAGTAGCAAATAAATGAAAAAAGAGAAGAGAGAGAGAGAGAGGAGCCGGGGACAAGAAAAAAAAAGTTCGCGACAAGCGCTAGCCTAAGTTAGAAGTTCTAACTTAGGCTAGCGCCAGAGAAGTTTGAGCTGCTGTGTGCGAGCTCATCTTTCTACTGGGAGACTTGTCGTGTACGCCGATAGGACACGGATGGGCGCCTGTAGAAAACAAAAGAAGGAAGAAGCAGAGCGAGGAAAACGAGCAACCTGACCGGCGTGCGATCAAGATGCACGTGCGACCGCGAGTCTGGCGCGCTGGGTATAGAGACGCGCGAGGTGCACATGGGCCCCAGCGGAAAGCTTTCACGGATCGCGTGTCACGACGCCGGAGAGGAATAAACGAAGAGAAACCAGCGAGAGGGGACACGGAAATACAGCCATGCGAGCAGTGGGTGCCTTCGGAGGTCTTCATTGGGAGCAACTGACAACGCCTTCAGCACGTGGAAGCTCGCGCGGAACTGCAGAGCAGAATGAGGGCGTGCACTCACCGCATCCGTTGCAGACGACCTTCTTGACGGCGCGTCCCGCGCGGCGCGTGTAGTGGTCAGGTGTGGCGGCGGCCGAGAAGTTGGCCGCCGCCGGCAGCAGCAGCCGTCGTGCGGCACGGCCGGCGATCGGGTTGGCGTAGACGAGGTAACGTGCGTTGAACACGAATCCCTGCGGCACGGACACGGGGCACAAGGTCCGCCGGCGGGGTGCCAGGGCCTCGTTGTGGAGCGCATCGCGACGCGGGGTGCGCGGCGACGCGGAGCGATTGAGGTGCGTGGGCGGCGGCCGGCTCTTGACCAGGGCGACGACGACCTCTTGGCGTCGGCGCAACGTCGCCGTCAGCATGGGCTTGAGCACCTTCTGGACGCGGAAGCGCGCCAGCAGGTTGCCTGCTGCGTCCACCGACTTGGACAGCAGCCGGCCCTGGAAGACGAGCGACGCCGTGAGCGCCTTGTTGCTCGCGTCCCAGCGGTCCTGGTCCTGCGGGCAGCGCGCGCCCGAGGCGGCCGCTGCCACGAGCACCACGGGCAGCAGCAGCGGCAGAGGCCGGGTCATGCTAGCAGCCTGGGCGGCATTGCGAGGCCGACTGGACGGGGCATGCCGCGGCGGCCCGCACGGCGACCGCAGCGCCGCCGCGGCGGAGCGGCCGTTTTCCCCGCCAGCATCTCTCCGCTCTACCGCATCCCGATCGCCCCCGCTGAGCCCACATGTTGCTGCACTTCTTCTATTCGTGCACCACACCTTTGTGCAAGGTTGCAATACAGGGTGGTACAACGGTAAAACACGATGGTAGCCTTACCAAGAGCGACACTAATATCCGGAGTACCGCGCATCCTACTCAAAGAAGACGTCTCTCGCGACTTTAAATGGGAGCACCGGCGGAGATGGAAGTGTGGTTAAAGGTGGGCCCGCGCTTACGGCTCATCATTTGGCAAATATAGCGAAGAGGCACACTGCACGCGCCCACAGCGCATCAGAAAAAAAAAGATAAAGAAAGGGAAGTTGAATGACGACGGCAACACGACGGATTGCCGGCTACTGACTGTGTCCTCTCTTCCGCCCCCTCCTCTACCTGCCGGAGCTAGTGACAGCGACGCGGCACCGATACGACGCGCCCGTTGTACCGGCACACGAGCGGAGCTCAGTTGCAACAGAGAGATAAAGATTCTGTTGTGACCTGTCACCGCCAGGCATGTGTTGCCGACAAGATGACTCACACAGCTCCCTTTATTTAGGTTTTCCCGCCGATGTTCATATATAGCTATATACGCCCGCGTACGCATCATCACTCGCTGTCTCTCTGAATATATATATATATATATATATATATATATATATATATATATATATATATATATATATATATATATATATATATATATATATATATATATATATTCACACGTTCGTTATATCACGAACGTTATAAACACGTTCGGCTCAGTACTGGTGCAATGGCGATCGGATAAGATAAAATTAGACGCCGAGATCCTGAATGGGTGAAGTGCACACATTTTAGTAGTTTAAACATCCATATCTTGTTCTTTCGTATCTGCTTGTAATATCGCCACGCTAATAAAATTAAAAAGGGAAGAAATGGCAACATACAGGATATAGTTAACCTAGGCCATTTGGATTGGTTCTAGTTGGTGGTGATGATTATTCAGTCTATCTATCTATCTATCTATCTATCTATCTATCTATCTATCTATCTATATCTATCTATCTATCTATCTATCTATCTATCTATCTATCTATCTATCTATCTATCTATCTATCTATCTATCTATCTATCTATCTATCTATCTATCTATCTATCTATCTATCTATCTATCTATCTATCTATCTATCTATCTATCTATCTATCTATCTATCTATCTATCTATCTATCTATCTATCTATCTATCTATCTATCTATCTATCTATCTATCTATCTATCTATCTATCTATCTATCTATCTATCTATCTATCTATCTATCTATCTATCTATCTATCTATCTATCTATCTATCTATCTATCTATCTATCTATCTATCTATCTATCTATCTATCTATCTATCTATCTATCTATCTATCTATCTATCTATCTATCTATCTATCTATCTATCTATCTATCTATCTATCTATCTATCTATCTATCTATCTATCTATCTATCTATCTATCTATCTATCTATCTATCTATACAGGGTCACGTTGTTGCTTAGGTTTGGCAGCACTGAAATTACAGCTAATATATTAGTTTTTGCTGTAGTGAGTAATGCACTGCGTTGCTTCGCGCGAGTAATTTCAAGAAAATTACCCACTATTTTTCCAACTGCTCTTGCCTAGAATCAATGTGTCCGCTTCTTTTATGACATAAAAGTTCCCAGAAAAGAAAGAAAAATAGCAACGATAACTTGAGCCTTTTGGCACAGTTCAAGCGTTGACAGGCTGATAAAAAAACATGCAGAATTCGAAGTCGAGGCCTTAAAAAACGTTGCTGGAAGTCTAGGACCCTCGAAACTTCGGAAATTTTTATCTATATTGAAATATATTTCAATGTATATGTGCTGGAATAAATTAAGCTTACAAGAGTTAGTTCATGAGCCGTGAACAGTTAGTAAAACAATGTGAAAGTGATCTTGTTACTTTTGAAAAGTAATGGTAATTTAATGTCCTTCGTCGCGTTGTAATCTTGCAATGTCATTTTATGACACTTAAACATTTGATAAAACTAAGTAGCGATGTACTCATTAAAATTCTAAGTGTAATTTAATTATCTATGGTGCAGATAGAGGACAGACAGGAGAATCGCAGGCGATATTCGAAGACGTGCGTTGGTCTTCCACCTGAGTCCTGCTGTTTCTTCACCCGGTTTCATATCTTTATGCTCAAGTGATTCTACTAAACGAAAATAATTACTCCTATACATATATGGGATCTCCAGAGGACTGATGATGTGGTTATCAAGCTTGGCCCGAGCGTTCCCGGCGCTTGACTCGGCGCTACGCTTGACTGTGGAACTGGAGAGATTATTCTACAAAGTACGTTGCCCGCTGCCATAGTTGACGATTTTCCGACTATCCCCATCGATGCGCTTTCGTTGTCTGAAGAAATGACGATATTTGGTCGGACAGCAATGTTTGTTCCCGTATGCTCTTCTCCCGCCCGCCCAGGACCCTGCACTGGACTTGTCGAGCCCGATCATACAAACGCCATCAAGAAGAAGAATGTGCTGGTTCCGCGGTCTGTCCTTACAGTGATCGGCAGACATGCTTGTTTGTGGACGCTCAACGCCGCCTCAGAGCCTGTTGTTCTACCAGCTGGATTTAAACTGGGAACGTCTGAGAAGTAGGGCACAGTTGACGTCACAACGGTCTCAGAGTCTCCAGTCATCAGTCAGACTGCGCCCAACTACTCAGCCGAGATGAAACGCACGATCAATAGGTCGTTGCCTTCTTCCGAGCAGGGTGCCCTCGAGGAGGTGCTTACACGCTACGCGGGAGTCTTTTGATTTCGCTCAAGAGAAGCGTTGTTCCATGTTGACTGAATCTCGTATGCACCACCGCATCAACATGGGAGGTGGTACACCGAAACGCCCGAAACACTATTGCGTATCCCCGTCAGAGAGGAAAGTGATCGCCGATCAGGCCAACGACATGCTGCAGAAAAGCGTTATTCAAGAGTCAAGCAGTCCCCGGCCAGCTCCTGTTATATTGGTAAAAAAGAAAGACAACTCTTGGCGATTTTGTGTCGACTACCGCCGTCTCAACGCCGCCGCAAAGAAAGACGTCTATCCGCTACTACGCATCGATGATGCATTTGATTGCCCGCACTCAGCCGCATACTTTCCGTCTGTCGACCTATGGTCTGGATACTGGCAAATACCAATGCACCCGTGTGACAGAGAGAAGACTGCTTTTGTCACGCCTGATGGGTTATTTGAATTTTACGTTATGCCGTTTGGCTTATGTAATGCCCCGGCTACCTTCGAGCGATTCATGGACTCCATCCTTCGCGGTCTCAAATGGGAGAGATGTATGTGTTATCTCGATGATGCAATTATTTTCGGCAAGACATTCCATGAGCACAACCATCGGCTTAGCGTTGTTCTAGATTGCGTCAAACAAGCTGGTCTCGTTTTAAACGCAAAGAAGTGTCATTTTGGTGAGTGTCAAGCTCTTGTGCTCGGATATCTAGTCGACAGGGATGTCATACGACCAGACCCGCAAAAGATTAATGCTGTCCGAGACTTCAAGCAACCAACGTCTGTGAAGAATCTCCGTAGCTTCGTAAGCCTGTGTTCTTATTCTCACCGGTTTATCAAGACTTCGCCCAGCTTGCTCATCCTCTGACAGAGTTGCTCCACAAAAACGCCGCATTCAAATGGACCATTGAGTGTGAGGCTGCTTTCGAGCAGCTGAATTATTTGCTTACTTCCGGGCCCCTCTTTCGCCATTTCGACCCGGAGGCATTTACAGAACTGCATACAAATGCTAGTGGTATTGGTGTTGGTGCCGTGCTAGTTCAGTATCACGACAGCCACCAACACGTCATGCCGTATGCAAGTTGTACTTTGACTAAGGCGGAGAGAAATTTTTGGTCACCGAACTGGATTGTCTTGCGGTTGTTTTCACCGTCGAAAAGCTCAGACCTTATTTGTACGGCCGGCAGTTCAAGATCGTCCCAGATCACCATTCTCTTTGTTGGCTTGTCGGACTACATGATCCAGCTGGCCGGTTGGCTATGGTTGGGCCTTACGGCTTCAAGGATATAATTTTTCTGTGACCTACAAAAGCGGTCGATGTCTCGCAGATGCCGACTGCTTATCTCGTCTTCCATCTCCGACTGTGGGGGCTGCTGATGATGATTTCGATAACAACCTGGTTGCAATCTCTTCCAACTTCCCAATTTTGGACGTCTTCCGTCACGAGCAACCGCATGACCCTTCGCTGAAACCAATGATCGATGTGACTCATAGTTCTAAACGCGCCATGCCATTCGTGATTCATGACGCCCTACTATATCACAAGAATTACTCCAGCCATTGTTCCGCACTACTCCCTGTCATGCCAGAATGCCTGCGTCTTGAGGTATTCCAAACCATGCACGATGACATCACATCTGGGCACCTTGGATTTGCCCGAACGCTTCACCGTATCCGACAATGTTTTTACTGGCCTCGACTCTGGAAGACCCCCAAGCACTACGTCGCAAGTTGTGATGTCTGCCAAAAGCCACCGACACCATCATTCTAAATGTCGGCATAGATTTACTGGGCTTTTCCCCCAAGTCTACCACTGGCCGCCGCTGGATTATTGTGTGCGTAGATTACCTGACGCGGTATACTGAAACGATGGCGGTTGCTTCAGCCACATCATCTGATGTGTCATGGTTTCTTCTGCACTCGATTTTACTCCGTCACGGGGCACCTCGTGGGGTGATAAGTGATCGCGGCCGGCAGTTTACCGGTGGTGTTGAAGAGTTGCTACGGCTTTGTGGTTGACAGTATCGGCAGTCCACGCCATACCACTCTCAGACCAACGGCCTCACTGAGCGCACCAATCGTGCCATCATCAACA